TTACGAGTCGGCGTAATTACTTTCTTATTTACGTATTTAAGAAGCCGATCGATGTAAAAAATGTTAACACAAAAAAATAGTGGTGTGAATAGCTTCATTTGATTAATGGTGTACGCGGACTTGTCATAACGTCGGCTGTCAAAAAGGTATCATTAATTACCTACGGCACATAAAGCGCTGATTAAATCGACGTTCAAACTAAAACAGGGGGGCCCGACAAAAGCCACTCGGAATACAGAGGGTTTTATTTGTTTTACGGGAACATTGCCATGTAATGTTCTATTATATGATAATGAAATCGACCAATCGCTTTACGACAATGTTACGGGGCTATAGAGTACCCGAATCAATCACGCGGTTTCATGCAAATGGCGGAGCCACAGCTTAAAGTCTGATGACGGCAGCAATGTCAAAAGTAATGAGATGTCGCGTAACTCCGTTGAAAACGTATTTACCAACTAAACGTGCAAAGCATCGTTATATCATTTCTCATGTTCTTATCCTTAGTCAAATATCTACTGTCTGTTTACCAAAATCAGCGTAATTACAACATAATAAAATAAATTTATAACAAAGTAGTCTTTTCCCAGACACTGAATTGTTCGCTGTTCCGTCGGAGAATAAGTTGTAATGAGATCTACGAACAACTGGTTAACTAACTACCTAGGTGTTAAAGTAGACTGGTCTCTATTATTTGAAGCGACTCTAGATATCCCGAGCAATTGTGTTGTAATGAACGGACGGTGCAGCATTGAGTAAATTCTATTTTAAAAAACGGGCTGTTTTTAACCATTTATAATATTTTATGACGAACTTTATGTTAGTAATTAATTGTATATCCTATCATAAAAATAAATCGTATATCCTATGTTCTTGCTGGTTAAATAAATGATTTATTATTAATTATACATATTTTTATTTTAAAGGATTTTATATGACTTAACGATGCATCCTTGCACACGCGTTCCAATAACGCCCACGCCATTTTTCATTAGAAATCGAAAATAGTAAATAAGTCGATGAAGGTATCGAAAAAATAAAAAGTTTTTTTTTTTTAATTTTATGCAAAATTGATCTGACAATGATTTAAATGTAATTGTAAAATGTATTTAATCGAAGGAAACCTTACTTTATACTTATTGCTCTTTAAGCTCAATATATTTGATCTTTGATAGTATCTCGTAATAGTAATTTTATTCAAATATCGGTAAAACGATAATCCTTCATGCTTTCCTAAAATTGCAGTTAAAGTATCTCTGACAATTTAGACACCTGCTAGTCAAAGTTATTTCACCCTGCTTCTAGAAAAACATCCGACGAAAAAAGACCAGACTCGCGCACAAAGGGTTCCGTACCATTATCTATAAACAACGGCCAAAAAAATCATGTCTTTTGTATGGGAGCCACCTTAAATATTTTTTATTTTTTTCTGTTTTAGTATTTGTTGTTATAGCGGCAACAGAAATATAACATCTGTAACCAAAATTTAAACTGTCTAACTTTACGGTTCATGGGATACATAGCTTGTGGCAGACGCACGTACAAACAGAACAGATATGGGAGTCTTAGTAATAGGGTCCCGTTATACCCATTGGTTACGGAATCCTAAAAAACCGTCAAAAGGAACTATGTCTCAACCGTCAAAGCAAAAGACAAAGGAACGAAAAAAGTTTTAGGTAGTTTAGAAAATGCTCAACTTTGCAGGTATAGATAATCAGTTAATAACGTGTTTAAAAATGTTGTAGTATTTTATACCGTAAGGTAAAATACTGTTGAATGAAACACAAATACCCTGTATTTGTAAATATTTTTTGATTATTGAAATTTAATCAAAAGCTTATTTTTAATTAAGTTTATATATTAACTGCCTTATGCGGTAATAGTTGCAGTTAAGCTGGCCATCAATATGTTTATTAATATATATATATATGAATCTTTATTAAACCCAAGTAGCCCTCATTGTGAGTACGTACATATTACGTAATCATGTTGATAAGCGGTTTCGGAATCAAATATTGGCATTGAAAATAAAGAAATTTGAACAGTCGTTTTGTAAACTTAGCGGAACTTCAACGTTACGCGGGCGATAAATTATAAAAATACCACGCGACAGACGCAAGTATCGTTAATTGCTTACCGCCCCATTTCGTGAAATTGCTCAATCTCTTTTACGACATGCGGGCGTGCAGACGCCTCGTCCTTTATTAAGTTACAGTTCGGCGAGGAGAAGAAAAAAAACCTGGTGTTACTTTTACCCTTGAAAATCGTAAAAGGCCACACGCGCCCGAGCGAGCAACGCATTGCACTCGCATTTACATTGAATCTTTATGCGAGCACAAAATATCATGCGGGCATATGTAATTGCGCCGAACGGTTCCACGTCGGGCTGCTTAATGGAAATGAGGCAATTGGAAGCAGTGCGCGCGCCATCCAATTGAATTCGGGAACGCGAACGCGTCGACTGCTTTATGGGGGCAGAACCCCGCGCCTAGCGCCGCTTTATGACCACCGCATCCCCTTCTCTGTTGTTCTCTCGCAAAGAGAGGTTAAGAGACCTGGAGCCGTAACGACCGCTATCTAACTCTCAACGAAAATTCAAGTACCGCAGATTACCTTTTTACGTTTTAACGGTGACGGGCCGACGTAAAAGTTCGGGCTGTAAAATTATACATCGCCCCCGTAAGTCGCCGGTGCTTCCATGCGAAATGTTTTGGTTATGAATAAAATATTATCTTTAATGGGTGTGTTTCTTTTTCTTATCTTAAATTTTACTAAATGGTAGAACTTACATTTGGTGGCGCAAAGGCTATCAAATTAATTTAAACACTGAGTTATATTGCCTGATATACGTCGGTCAAGATCACTATGGGTACTTATGTCCGCACATAAGGAGTTATACTTTTTTAGTGTAACAAAAAAAATTATTTCCCTGTACCAACACTCTTTGATTGTAAAAAAAAACTTTTAAAAGAATAGATAACAGCTTCATTAAATGACTTGAAATTATAGCTAAATGTCAAAAAGTTGTTATTGGTTGTGGTGGTAATACCGTGAAGATGGTCGTTTGCAATCATCAACTTCATCATGTCTAGTTTTGGGTGTCGAACGTAATTTCACTCGTAATCTTTTCCTAACGCGCCAAAAGAAGTATAACACCATAAATTCGAACAAAAAAATTTTCGAACAGTATATTTTTATGTGACTTATTCTGTTCGGAAAACTGTGTTAAAGTTAATGTGTGCATGAAACCTTTGCGCAACCTGACTTATGAACAATGTCTGTGCGACGTCTGTTCCATCTTTGAATTACCTGATTTTGGAAGTTTGTTATTTGTTCCCTAGCGTCACCTTAATGACACCAAATTCGATAAAAAAAATTAATATGGAATTCGAATGTGTTTTGTTAATGGCACTGGCCACTCTTTAATTTAATTTTAATTTACGACCACAGCGATGCTGTTATACTTTTAACACGTGCAGCGTACAACCAGGAACGTCGTAAAGTTCGTTATTGAAGCCGTAAACCGTTGTTAAGAATTTCTCATCGTCCTATAATAAACATTTCGTAACGAAAGGACAAATAAAACCGAATTTCAGCATAAGATATTCTAACCGTTGTTTTTCGTTGGCAAACAACTACCCTAAGATGTAAAACGCTTAACGAAAGATGTTCTTCGTATCCAAATAATATTATAACACATTTTATAAGATTTTCATTCGAATATAGACTATTGTGTATTCGTCGTTGACTGTATTAACTGAAAGCACTGAAAAACGTTCTTGCCTTTATGTTTCTTATGAAATTAAGTAATAGTAAATACAAAATTATACTTGTAATATCACTAAACATCCTATAATTACGTAGAAACAATAGAGAAAATAATACTATGCCTAATGCATTAGGTACGTAATTTTGTCATTAAACTTATACGTGAAAGCCATTCTATTGGGTAAGATTATGTCGGTTATGTGAGAACTTTCTGAATGTACATTTTGTTACCTGAAAGGGTTTTCATAAAACTGAATTATAGCCATAACCCTAACTTGATCTTGAGGACCGGCATAAAGTAGCATCTTGGGTGCTTACAGGACACACGGGGAATGCCGTTGTTAAATTTTATGAAAACTAGTTCTGTACAATAGAAATATGTAAATTAGACAAGTATTCGTTTTACAGGAGGCGGGAGGAGGCTTTAAACTTTTACAAGTTCACAAGTTGCATCGAGAATGCGGTCATAAGCAGCACCAATCGATTACTTTCGTCTTTTAGCTTTTGAAATAGAAACCAGCTTTTTTAATTTATGATCTATTATATAGGTTTATTACGCGACGAAATACTTGTTAAAAAGTGAAAATGAGTACTATTTACCTATATCTTTCATTTACGCTTTAAAAGTATACTAACAATTTGTGTGTGTGTGACTGTATTTTTTGTGTTCATTGTTATGATTGTTATTTGGCTGTATAATCATTATACTATGCAGTCTCCAGTAAATGAAGGTATTAAGGTATAATTTTCTTCACTCTCGTTAGTTCTACGGGCATTTCACCTGAAGCGCTCTATTGTATTTGATTCTTCTAGCGATCTATTGTCATAATGGTGCAAGTAAATTCAATTTTGAATGAAAGTATTTAAATAATTATGCACCAATTTATTAGTTGCATTTTATGTATATAACAAATATTTTTCGGTTAAACCTCCATTCAAGTTGTCTTTGTGTAATGATGATGATGATGATGATGATGAAACAAGTTTCAAACTTGTTATAATATTACTTATTTATGTCTGTAGGTACATACGAGCATGCACACGTGTCTCGAAGTGAAACAGTTAGTCATTTAAGTAATTTTGCATGTAGTCTTAGATCTCGTTGCCATTAAATAGTAACCACAAAAGCTGCATCGTGTGCAGCGGAGCTCCTTTATACCCTTGGGACCGTTATCCATTTCGCTTCGCGCGCGAGGCGGCTGTTTCAAAGAGCGAGAGCATTTCGCCCTTTAAAATAATGTAAAGCGGACTAGCAACAGTGGGACCGCGTCGGCGCCACGCATCTCCTCCGCCCACGCCTCGGGCTTATCTGGCGTGTTCTCACATAGAAATTTACACGTGCTCGCGAGTATCGGCGGCTCGTAATGGCGCAGTGGTCGCATTTTATCCGCCCGAGGTGACCGGTGCGGGCACAACGGCGCGGACGCCCCAACACCTGGGCGTGGGCGATCGGATGCCGTCGCGTTTTATGACCTTTTTATTCCATTGTCACTCGGACGGCGAGACGCGGCCGCGGCGTAAATAAATTTCGACGGCCTTATCTAAACGTCAAATCGTTCGCCCTCGATCGAATCGGTCTCGGAATGGTTTTAATAAATCTCCTTTTACGGCTGATACGGTGGGGCGCGCTGTGGTGCCGCGCGGCGAGTTATCGCGCCCCGCACCGCCGCCGCGTCTGTTCAACAATGGGTTTAATTGAAAGAGTGTCGATAAATTTGTCGCGCGTTGTCCTGCTACGCCGGTGGTCCCGATATACCTGATCGTGTCGTAACGCACCGACATCCGAGCCACGAAACGCGAGGACCGCATCCTTGTTCCGGAGGGCGAACGTTTGTTTTTATCTTCCGCTAGCGTTGCCTTCATTACGATAAATCTCCTTTTAAAGTTTCCAACGCTTATCTCGAATGATCTGTGCGCTATCTTGTTCGGCTGAACATCGGTAACAGCTTAACGCCTTACGGTATTTAAGCCAGTTACGATGATTTAATTTAGAACAATTAGGTTTTTAGTCTTAACATTTTTCATCGGTTTTCGTTACTTGTAAGAAACGGACTGCTAAATTAACTCTTATTCAGAATGATATTAGATATGAACGTGTGTATTTCACCGATTATTTGGAAAATAAATTATAAATCTACTACTTATCTACGGTTCGGGTTTGAAATAAAACAAGACGTACATTTCCTTCGTTCCAACAGTAAACAAATTCACCGGCTTATTATTCAGTAAATTCCCCGTTAACGTAAAATCTCAGCCACACAATTTCGGGATTTGTTTTCTCACGGTTCGCCCCCGCCCACGAGCTCTTCTCCGAATACATTCGACTAAGGAGTGGAACTTTGTATTCATAATTTAGTTGTAACCGCGATAAAAGGTTTACCTTATTCTGGATGCGCCATTTAAAATTTATGTAACAAAAATTATTGCCTTAATGTTACAATTGGATGAGTGTTGCTAAAACATAGTAAGTTCCTCTTTTGAATTACTGCTTTACTTCATACTTATTTTTTATTCATATAATAAAAATGTAACATTGATAGAAAACTGTAAATAATATACAAACTTTATTTATTAAAATAAATAAAACATATACTTTGAATTTAGACATAAAACACCAGACTTTTGACAATTGCAGGTCAAAAAAGGTTTTTGAGTAAATTTTGAAAACCTTAACTTTTAAACCCCAAAACACATAACTATTAATGTATTTGTCATAAATAAATAAAATTTTTTAAATCGTGGTATACATGCTTCCCTTAAACAGTTGTCTCCTCCAAGCGTTTCTTAGCTCCACGATTTTACAACTGCACTCCACGATTGGTCCCAACAATTCACACCCGATAATCTTTGTGATAAAACCGCCGCCGGTCCATCACCGTAAAATCACACGGAAATTATTCAAAACGCTCGCTTTAATCACACCCACTAGGTAGGGGAGGTATTTTAATGTGCTTTGTGCATGCGCTTTTCGCGAACGCAACGGCATTACGTAGAATTTTAATGCCATTAAAAAATCTTCCTTTAGTCCTTTTAAAAAGCACGCAAATAAAAACATTTTGAGTTAGACAGTAGTTGGGATTATGTTTCGAATACGGTGAAATAAAATTGTTTGAGATCGATGTTTCTAATACTACAATGATGAAAATAGTTTTATTTAAAAGAGTAAAGTGTTCACGCAAAAACATAAATCAATATATTCCATATATTAGTAATTTTAAATAAAATTATTTTTAATTTTAAATAAAGAAATATATTGGCATTCAACTAAAACAAGATACAAAAAAAGTAATTATGTCTTAAAACTAACCAATTTTTACAACCATAATTTAGCTATTTGTTTTTAAATATACCAATGGACCGATATTATCACTAGTGTTGCTTTTAACACGACGTGCACATCACTGTATAATAAATACCTCTTATGAGAACTTTGACGCGGCGCACTCGTTCGAGCGCGGAGGGCACCGGATCTACAAGCAGTTTCAGCGGGGATGCGAAGCCATTGCCGCTGAAAAGTATGGCCGCCCAACCCCGAGAGGCTTGACCACACTTTCTCCAGCGCGTCCCTTCGGCGAAAACGAAAGCGCGGCTCGAAGAGTTGCTGGTCCTCGTCTCGAAATTCAACAAATCACTCAACCCCTCTATATCACCTTTTAAAACACGTCTTACAAACACTTTGAATATGTTCCCCCTGCTCTTCCCCGCTCTCCTCTTACTGTGCACACTGGAAATTTTCCCGGTGAAAATGTATTTAGACTGCGCCACAATGCGCTTCAAAGAGTCGACGTTTTTAAATAAAGAGTTGTTATAATAACACGGCGGCGCCGCGTCGCCGTCCACTTTTATCACGGTGTTCCTTCTTCTGACTTTTTCTCTGATTAAAAACTCCGCGTGTATCGGTAGTGAGATAAACAGGAGCGCGTAAGGGAATACAGTCGATATTTTCATTTTGTTATTGTTTCATCGCGTGCGAGTCGATCCACCACCGTGAACATAATTATGAGTTGTTGTGAGCGCGAAAACGAAACATCCCACGGTGGCTGTACGGCGTTTGAGCGGAGTGGTTTATCGTAAATGTTACATGGTAGGAGGTGTCAGGTATGAGTGCGCGCGCGCCGTCCAACGCACGGACCTCGACTGGAGGCTTCATCGGGCCCTGTGTGGCTTGCGGCCCGTTTCTGTTGTGTTAATCTTAAGCTCCTCGCAGCGTAAACACTCAACCAAGTAAGTGCTTTCGCAAATTTCCAAACACCGACTCACCACTAAGCACACTTTTAGCCCGAGTTTTGACTGTCCGCTTTTGTACGTGAAGCGTCAATCACAATATTGGGCAGCGAATAGAATGAATGGGGAAATACGTGATCAATCAAACTGGAATCAAACGAAAAATGCTGCAGTTTTTCCGCACAATAAGCTCTGTGTATTTTTAAAATTCTTTTTTTGATTTACCGAAATTGTATGTTAAAAGAGTAATATCAGTTTTATTGTAAAAAGCTAACAAGCAAAATAATATTTATAAAAAATCACCATTCTAATGAGTTAAATATTAAATGGTCAAGCATGTTGTTCACAAATTTACATTTCAATCAAAACCAATAACAATATTATACTGTTCATTGTACGTTTTCTAGATATAAAAATTCTATTTTAAGATAACTTCTATTAGATTCTTCACTTTAAGTTCAAAAAATGTTTCACCAATCATTAGCATAACAAGTAATTATAGCGACCGAACAAATTACATTTTTTGGTCGCATACGCTTAGACGTAACCCCTACAAATTTAAAGAGCAAAGCGGATATTGAAAATTTGAGTAATGCAAAAAAAAATAACTTAGTGGGACACAATAATTAATTTGTTATGATTTATTCATATCCATGCAGTATGTACCGTATCGAGCCTGCATTAATTCACGTCTAAATCTGCGGCTCGTTGCTGGAATCAACGTGAGATCTTTTGCATGTATTTGAGATCGCTATCGGGGGCCCGTGCCGTGGAGTGACAAAGTAGCTGAACCAACCAGCGCGGTTCCGTATGCACGCGTCTTGTAGCATGTGTCGAGCAAGCGCGTAGGCGGGCAAGTAGTCCGATGCCATGGTCCGTGTTACAGACGCTAAGCAAAACAACTTGCATTTATGCCCATAGCTTTTGCCCGTGCCTTCTCACTTGTTATTCCATTTAATGCGACACCGCTGAACTTCCACCAAATACAATAACCTAGGTGTTAATAAAGCTCGCACATAAACAATCTCCCTTTCAATGTTAAAGGGAAAACAGACACACATATAGTGACTATGAAAATTATAGATAATGTCAATGCTATCTGATCCTTACCCGATTTCACAATTATAATAGCGATTGTTTTGGTGGATTACATATCTTATGTCTTGTTTATTATTAATGTATCTGCCAATCTACAATCATGTGCCTTTTTTTTTATCCGAATTTGTTTTGGGGTTTTTATCCTTTTTGGATATGTCAACTCCATAGTGACCATCTCATTTCTATACTTTAAAAATACACTATATCTAAGTTACCAGACAAACGTAACAAAAAATTTATAAAGGTACAATTGGAGGCCTTATCTCTCAGAAGCGATTTCTTCAACCATGCTATTGTAAAAATAGTGCATGTTCTAAATATATAAACATAATCCATACTTCCATAATAATATTATAAATGCGAAAGTAAAAGCTGTCTGTCTCGCTTTCACGCCAAAAATACTGAACCGATTTAAATGAAATTTTGTACACAGAGAGTCTAGAAAAAGGGTTTATAACCCTTTTTCTAGACTCTCTGTGTTCTTAAAGGGGATAGATATTTATTTAAGGGCTTCAGCGCAAGCGAATCCGCGGGCGAAGAGCTACTTATACATATTTTAGTTATGTATAACTTAATAATACAAAACCTAATTATGTGTAAAGAATAGGAGTTATGGAATAATAGGATCGGTAATTTGAATGGGCTCAATAAATACTATCAGTTATAACAATTTTATTTACAATAATATAAACAGACAATTCTAATTATAAAACTTCAAGACTCGATTTATGGAATATAAAAAACATATAAGACGCTTTAATTGCTATCGAGTACCTGTATAAATAATTTTAATAATGTAAGTTTGTACTTTCGAAATCCCTGTACAATTAATTTCAGACAATACTAAAGTGAAAGTACATAAATGAGTGCAAAGACTTGACTAAAGACGTCGCCCACGAAGACACACGTAAACACATCACGACCAACGCACACAGACGCGCCTCTTGACAGCTGATTCCGAAATACCTTACCTAGATAAAGAGAATGAGACTATAACTTACTTGAAAGTACATATCACTTTATCCCAGTCAGATTAAACTCCCGAAGTTGGCTGATTAACGCAAGTTGAATTTAAACTGTGTCTGTCTTTGTTACATAATCTAGAAACAAAGGAGGAGTGGAGAAGAAAACCCATTAAAACTGACTCAATTTATATACCGACAAGCGTTGCACATAAAAAAATCGTTTCCGCGACGTAATTACTTTCGAATTTTTTCAAACGTTCGCGTCAGTCACATGAACCATCCATTTGGATAAATATTTTCACTCGACAGCATTTACGTTCTTCTTTTAATAAATGAACTTTTCAAGATTGCATAGCTTGCGAGAGAATAAAACTCTTCATCAACAATTTTTGCTCTGTTTTTATTTTTAACTGACTACAGAGCCATACTGTAGTCAGTTAAAAATATATACTAAATTGGGCGGAAGAGTATGTAACCTTCCTATCATTAACGATCCTTCCTTGGAACGCGTATATCCAAATATATACAAAAACTAGCGGACCGGACAGAAGTTGTCCTGTACCCACGACTTAAACCCGACAACAACTTATATATATAAAAAAATTAAAATCATTTGTAGTCGACCTAGTTGTGAATTTAAACCATTCTCGAATCGACCTGAAGACACACAAAAAATTTGATTAAAATCGTCCAGCCGTTTAGTAGGAGTTCAGTAACAGACACACGTACATAAGAATTATATATATATATATATATATATATATATATATATATATATATATATATATATATATGAAGAAGATATAATGACTTACCACCAATCGACTTAACTCGAGTACGTTTTCTAGAAAATATTAAAATAAAGCGATATTCTCTTATCTTTCACTGGCTTATTTCAGTAAAACCATACAAACTTCTGTTATATTAATAAATATATAAAATTGTTATTTAATACAGTAATTTAAGTCGTACATACATTAATTTAAGTAATACATTTCGATAAGCGTTAAGTCGTAAAAATTGCTCCGAAACCAATAAATGTAAACCACGCGTTTAGTCATCAAATTAACAGTTAATCATCATATATCATATAAAAAACTAAAATAACACAACTTATTCACTTCTGGCTAAGAGAAAAGAGAGCTTCTCGAAACACACAAGTTTTTTTCGAAACAAACTTCGCGCAAGATTACATCGCAACTGAAATGTAAAGAGCATCCAGATTTCCATTGTTTTCCACGTTACAGAACAAAGAAACGGTTTTAATAAAAGCAGAGCGGATGCAATTTGATAAATGAAATCTCCTTAGCCGGCTATCCGTCAACAGGAGTCGGGCTGGATGGGCAGGCTCGTAGCATTGAAATGCAATCCAAGCGCGGCTGCGGCAGACACCGGTCGATAATTGCATTTTGTGGTCGCGGGACGCTCCACTTGGCGGTGTACACGCGCGATCGAATGGAGCGCAAACAAACTTCGAGCTTCTTCCAGAAATTTCGATCCGATAAACAAGCGGGCTTGTGCCGTGAAAAGCTTCGCCACCTCCTTAAACTGTGCAAATATCGTCGTCCGAGTTCCGTCCGTGTTATTGGAATTGTATTTCACTCGGAAACCTATAGGAATAGACCCCTTTTTAATACGGGAAATTTATATCGAAATTTGCGACATTACTTTCGTTTTGTGTTATAGATTATTTATTTCGACCTATTTTTATTTGATTGCCCAGTTAAACACACCTTATACTATCACTACTTAAATTGTCTCTTTTCTCGTTAATTTTATGGCAACAATAATTAATATACCTGCAATAAATGAAACTGAAGCAAGAATTTCTTAATTAAGTAGTAAAGTCCCGAGTTTATGAGAACATATCGTCGTATATAGAGACTTATAACTCTACATCAAGAGACAACCCTCCAATGTAATAAGACTAGAAGTTTTGAAATTACGAGCTATGTTAAACGTATGAGGTCAGCAATGCTGAACATATTCATACCAAACTTACTAAAGATAATTTAGTAACGCAACAGCATAATAAATACCTAATTAACTTGAAATTGACATATTGATGATTTTTATTAAAAAAATACAACAATACTTTATTCACTTAAAAATAGTTTATTTCTAAAAAATTATATTAAAAGTAAAAGTTATAGTTGCAGCTTGTACATGTCCCACTGCTGGGCAAAGGCCTCCCCTGTACAGAGGGTATTATGTACATAGTTCACCACGCAGCCCTATTGCGCATTGTATTATTTGTATCACAAAAGAAATGAAATGAGTGAATGAATTGGAACAAAAATAAGATAACAAAACGTTTCAAATCCACGTTACGACGATAAATATACGTGGTGACTCGCGGAGTCTGCTAAGGTTTTTTCCTATTCATACGGACATTTAAATATCTCGTAAGTGTTTCGTTCACCTGACAGTGCAAGGCCGTTGGCGAAATATTGCTCCGTAAAAATGGAATGCCAACGCCCAGCGGCAAGATTAAGCGACGTTTCACCACAAGCTTCCCCTGTTTGGTAAAATTTCGGAACACTAGATCGTGAACCAAATACTATAATATTTATTTCGCTGAATCCAACGCGCATTAAGGTTGTATCACCAAGTATGTTCTATATAACAGTAATAAATATTTTTGTATTATCGTTATTTTCATTATTTAATGTTCCTCTTGACGTTTATAATAATAAGTTTAGCCATTTGGAAATTCGGAATCGGTGCAATACCTACGCGATAGACGTCGAAGACAAAAGCTCTAATTCGCATAGTTATCGATAGTTCCTCGTCAGCTCGATTCGAAGCTTTGTCCCGAGCACACACAAGAGAACTGTCGGACAAATTGCGTCCCGCGACTGCAGCGCTGCCCGAACACAATGCACATCCACATCAATGGTTATTTTATGCGCAAATGGACGCGACAACAAAGTATCGACACTGCCAGAAAAAAATGTTCCGCTTTGCCGCTCTGTTCTCGCAATTGTGTAGAGAAGCAGCGATAGCTCATTTCTACGCATTGTCTGCCATTTCAAATGAGCTGTGTACATTTATTTTGTCTGCGAATGTTTCAGGTCCTAACGTTGCCCTTTCGTATTGGTTACACTACGGGTTAACTGTTAACATATGCGTTCATTACAGTGATTTTGATATGCCTCGTAAATTATAATGGTTATATCCACATTACTCTTACGTTCCAATCCGCAGAAGTGTCGTGCGACATGCGAGAGAAATGGTCCACAAATTGCGTACGGCTGACTACGTCGCCCGCGCGATAGCACTGCGGGACAGTTCTACATACGTATGTATAATACGTAGACGCATTATCATACATTCCTATACGTCTACCCACGTCAAGCCTACCTACATAAAATGTGAGCGCACAAACTCAGATTTTAATGAAGATCTCGCTTCATATATCTTATTTAATTGCGATTAGAAACTACGCCAAAATAATAAAACGTCGTTTAAACTTAAGCGCCATCACTTACCGGCGACGTTAAGCTTCTTGAATGGAAAGTTTGAAATAAATGTCGCAAGTATTGCGAAGTGTTTTACATAAACGTGCGTTTAATAGGTCTCTCAACTTGAAAACATAGAAACGCAATAACTTTAAAGTTCTTCGTCAGTTAGTTGGTTGACACTTAACTATCAGAAACTCGGGCGTTTCTAATTTATCAAAAGCATTTTATTGTTAAAAAATGAAACTATAAAAAGGAGGAAGAGATAAACCGACGTATTTATAAATAACTGACTCACCCTGATAGCATGGATGGCTTAGATACAACCTTGCCAACTGTTATTGCACAGCGTGTTGTGGGTTCGAATACCACTCGGAATAAAAAGTTATAACCCAGGTAAATTACGGGTCTCGGTGTGACCGTGACTTTTTGTTTTTGGAACCCCCAGCGACACATATCGCGTTTCCAAAGAGGGTAAATCGTTGATATAAAATACTTGAGGTGCAGAATGTGCTAAATTTTGTTCTTTCCGTGAACTCAAGTACGTATCATCATCAATTCCAATGTGAAGATAGGTAAGTGGCGGTTGAAAGATAAGGCATTCAACACGCCATCTCGTTCCGTGGGTATCGCATGCGGTTGCAAACCTGTCTATCAATTGCGGCCATTATGTCAATTAGCCCTTGGGCTAAAGCCCAGTGATTGGCATAAACAACGCTTAAAGAAAGGAAGTTGTAATAGAATTATTTATTTTAAAAAAAATACCAGACGCTAGTTTGGGGAACGTTTTAAAAAAAATATGGTTTCTTAAGTAACCTACTTATGGATAATCCCATGTTAAATTAATTTATAATTTTGCACCATTAATTTTAAATAGTAAAAAAAATATTAATTATTTTATCAGCGACTTGAGGAAAATAAAACAAAAGATTAAATAAAGGTAACCTGCACGTCTTTCCCTATACTGAGTACGTCATATATTATTTACTATACACGTATTCTTTCATAGTTAAGCACGTGCTTAAACAGCAGTTAAGCGTATATATACATGGATTGCAAGTTAATTTCTATTGATCAAAACTTTACATTAAATTATGCTGCGCAAGTACGAAATAAAATTTTATTAGCGAACCCGGGGAGTTAACTAGAAGAGTTTAAACAGTTTTGAAATAACTGTTTAACTCACCGTTATTAATTTAAATCGCCATAACTGAGCTTGAGACCATTTCACGTTGAAGAATGACATTTAATATCATGATAATAAATGTATTATTGGAAGCAATAGGTTAAGCCTGTGATGTTCTTTTAGCTATCATCATTAAAAATAATGTTTTCTATCGGAATAATTAAAAGCTGAAGAAACTATATAGCTAGCTGCGGCTGTCAAAGGACGCATGATCGCATTTTTGTTTTGCGATTTGTTGCACTTCCAACTTAGAATCACTGTCAAGAAAATCTTGGTACGTTTTTGGAAAATCCTTCATCATCATATTATCGTTAAATTATAAAACGATCACAAGAATAGGTGGTAGGGCACGCAGCTTCTGCGGTTGCACAATTGGCTAGGATGTTCCGGGGAGGTACCATGACACCACAGAACACAGGCGTGTAGCGGTGAGTGAGGTAACCAGGGCCCACTTTGCTAATAGCTGGCAACGCCTCTACCACCCATCAGGTATTGTAGATTTCCATAGGTGGCGATAATCACTTAAAATTAGAAGAACCGCCTGCTTGCTTGCCAACTTTTCGAAAAAAAATGTTTTTGACATCTTTTACATGATTCATTATAGTCTTTCAAAACTCCAAGCCCTATGAACCTCCACAATTGTTCAAAAATACTGTAACCTCCCATTTCGAAGAGGCTAGTTATTCAGCTGAAGGCATACATTCTTTGAATTCCTAAGTTCATCAAACTAGTCTTCACCGTTTACAGGATCGGCGGATCTGTTACAAAATAGAAAGGACTAACAAAGTTAAATTGCTAAGATCCGCGTGAACAACGAAACTTCAGTTGGGTATGGAGGACCTCGCTTGTCAGTTCTGAGTAAACGCGCTGCTTTTGTTTCATTCGAGCATCTTAACAAATTAAGTTTTAAATGCTTTTCAAATAGATTCATTGTTTAACATTTTCATATTCAATCATTTCACACGAAAGCCATACATATCATATCTTTTAAAAATCTTAGGGAAACCAGCCGATATCATTTAGATATTCGTTCATCAATGTTGATCTGCGAAATGGCGGAAATTATTTAAAGCCTCTTCATCGCCCTAACAACTCAAACAAACAATATGTAATCGCAATAAATAATTCGTTGATTTCTAAGGTCACTGCTCTCCCAATGACGCCATTTTAATATAGGCACTAATAATTTACGACATTATAACGTTTGCAAAACTATTCCGATAAACGTGAACGACAAAATCAGGAATGCTTTTTAAAATATACTCCTTGTTCCGAACGCCCGTACTCGCGCAATTTCTCAAGCGTACAGTGTTGGCGTTCCTCCGGAATAAACGATTTGCCGGAGACAAATATACATTTCTGCCGTTGTTATTATCACTCCCCACTCGCTCTTTTCCTATCCATTCTAAGTTTTCGCTTAAGGTGTATCAATGTTTTAAGCATTTAATTTTACTTTGTTTTCATTAAAAAAAATCAACTAAATTTCAACAATACATTTTGAGATTATCATTTTCCATTTCAATTTTTCAATCTTAATTTATTCAATAGTAAATAAGATACAAAATACATAAAATAAAGCTCTGATTAAAACGTAATGCTACCAGAGAATGTAACATTACCTTTTGTAGTGCAACCTGAAACTAGAACGTCGCACACGAGAATTGTAGGTCTGCATTAGCTCGATCATTCGATTAGCTCTTAACAGAACCAATTAGCGGCGTTTTGAGCTAATTAATTAACCGGGCAACGTCGAAGCGATGAATAAACAAAGGTGAAATAAAAAAGCAAACGGGCGAGTGGAACGGGAAAATGCGACGTAAAGCGCGCGGCTGCTTTGAAAAATGCCTCTATTATTTACAAAAAAGGGAACGACGGGAGAGCGCCAGTGCAAAGGCGCTTGTGCGGTGACCGCGTCCGTTTCAAGCGAAATGTCAAAGTGGGGGAGAAAGCGAAGGCGGGCGGAATTATGTTGACACGGTGACCGCAAGCCGCCCGTGGCTCGTCGCAGCGGCGAGTGCTCTCGCGGCGCGTTGGCCCGGGTGGTCCGCGTCCCACTCGAGAACAGCTCTAGTGGAGCCGTCATCCGGCGGAATAAGCGGCTCATTATTCACTAAAAGCCCACGGCGCGCCCGCTCGGGTAATTGGAGGCTTTGTTCCTTCACGCCCGGCTTTGGCGCTCTCTTGGACTGCAGACGTATCGCCGCCCGCTCGGATTGTTTCTCGCACAATCGCCGATCCGCGCTCGGCCTCAGGTTAATCTGACGTCTGACGTATGAATTGTTTAGCGCGCCGGATGAGTGCCGCATTAATATTTGCACTGTCCTCCGCCCCGCCGTTCCCATCGCAAAGCTCTTTGTGCTCGTGCTGTTGATATTTTTAGCGTTGGAATAGTATAGTCCACTCAGGATTATCTTTCTTTTTCTCCTGCCCTTATACCACCTAGGCGAGATCGGCACGCTTAAATCATATCTTAATGATATTATAGTTTTTTCAATGGATGCCTGACGTCACACAAACACTTCACGAAATCGACCCCACGACCCACGGTGCCGCAACCAATATCTTAGCAACCTGTGCCACCGAGTCATCATGTAGTCATTATCTACCGTAAGTAATTTATACGTTCCGTCCGTTCCTTTAAAAAGCTGATGTTGGAAAAAGTGGAAGAGGCTTAGTTGGCTACTGCCCTTATCGCTGCGTACAACTAAATTGCTACTAACCGACATGTTGGGTTATAGTAATATCGGTGACTGTAAATAATAATAACACTAATCAAAATTGATCGCACAGTATTTACAGGCCGTTCCTTATGAATTATTTATTATTTGATATACAATATAAATAATAGTACCAGAACTTTGAGCGTAATATAAAATAATTTCACGTAAACAATAAAATCACGTCGAATTCTTAACTTTGAATCATCGAGCATCTCAGTATAGCCTTACCAAGAATGGTTCTTTAGTGATTTATTAAAGAAATAAACCGTTATATAAATTATCAACTCGAGGAAATTTCGACGCAGTGCTAAATAATACCTAGAAGTTATAAAACCTTTCTGACTAAAGATAAACATTTGCTTTATAGGTTTGAAATCATATCGATTCCAATAACTACGTACACTTAGTAAATGAAACGCGTTCCGACACAAAATTCAAAGGAAACACGTGTAGGCGGAGCAAAAATACCGCATCGTTATACGCAGGCCATCCGTCTTCTGTAACTTCGAGCTGTAAAACATTTATTATGGTACTTGCTTTCTAATCTAAAGTTGCATGTTGCTTCTTCGTCTCAGCCTCATTCCTCACTCGTTCCTTACAGTTATTGCAGTGTTCAGTTATGGTCTAATTAATTGTTGCGCGGGGAGACATCGTCAGTTTAATTACAAGTTGGGAACCGAGGTAGACGTTGTACGGTTGCCGAGTTTCGCGATACGTAAGGGGCGCTCGTGTACGAACTATTGCAGTGGCTTTGGAATGTGTGAATTTATTCATTCCCATGTGTTACGTTCCGATGCATGAACATTTCGAAAATGGAACGTGTTCTTATTCCTTTTAACGTTCGAACACTAGAACGGCGAAGTTCGCTTTTCTGTTTTTCGGGTCCCGTGACCAAACGGTAAAACGGGAGCCTATTACTAAAACTCCGCTATATGTTTGTCTGTCTCTGTGTCTGTCTGTCTGTCACCAGGCTGTATCTCATGAACCGTGATATTTAGACAGTTGAAATTTTCACAGATGACGCATTTCTGTCGCCGCTATAAAACAAATACTAAAAATACAGAATTAAAGAAATATTTAAGTGGGACTTCCATACAACAGAAATAATTTTATCGCCGTTTTTAAAGATAATGGTACGGAATCCTTGGTGCGCGAGTTCGACTCGCACTTGAACGGTTTTTTATTATAGAGAGTCACGTAATACTGTATAATATCATCAGACGTTCATCTTTGCCTAGCGTTTTAACATTATATATGGAAAAGAAGGTCCAACTTAGACGCACACGTCATATTTTGATTAAAGTGAAAATTTAAGAGGTAATTTTTAAAAATGGCTCGAAAGCTGTTCGTCGCGTTCGGCGTGGCGCCCCGTCATCGCAAGGGCGCTCGTTATAGCGAGCCCCGCGGCGCTGGGGACGCACTGACAAACTTAATAATAAGCCATATTAACGAAAGACGCGCGACTCTCGACCTTAAGGAACCATCGATACGTATGGAGGCCGCTCATGTGCTAGCACACTTAAACTTGTCGGAGCTTTACAACCAGCCTTCCTCATTACGTCTGTCGGCGTTATTGCCATCTCTTCGCAACATCAGTAAACGCCGCTCAGAAAAATATTTACGTACCTCTCGCACACAAACATTCAGAAGGGAAAGCAAAGGAACCATATGATTAATACTAATCTCGCATTCGACTTAAGCGTCAACTCGTGAGGCTGATTTATATAGTTATGGATATGTTTTTCTTTTTTATATTCAAAGTCAAAATCTGTACAAAGAAATATGTTCGATATAAACAGCCACCCATGTAAAGCGCAGGTCACAGCTGCAGTTACGTAACTGAATGTATCGGTATCGATATGACAACATCGAAACTACCCTCGCACGTCGGATAGAATCCACTCCTTGTTATGATGCGGTGACATAGGAGGACGTGCGGGGAATCTTAGCGGCCGTAGATCCGCACTCGACTAGGCGCCCCGCCCCAACGTTTGCGGAGAAGTCATTTTGCACCTACACTGTTGTAAAACTTTTGAGCGGGAAACCAATAAACAGCATTAGAAGACGTTAAAGTAAATTTATCGCCCATTGGCAGTCATTTGTAGAGTTGAGTTATGCAACTGGTAGAGTCGTAAAACGCTTTTTAATGTAGATCCATATTTTCAAAGTTACAGAAGGTGAGAGGGAAAGAAGTATAAAAAATAAACTCCAACCATTTATATTGCTAACATTGTACCAAACGCTTCACAAAGCATTGTTTGAAGCGCTGATATATGGAATTTAATTCTATTACACCAGGACTCCCCACGGTTGTTCGGAACAAAAGCAAGCTAACTCCATTAAAATCATGTTCTCTGTTTTGTTTTTGAAGTACTACGTTGTAGACATGCATTAAATGAAGCATTTCATAATCGTAGCTTCGTCATCATTGACCATCTCAAAAATTAAATTCAATAGAGCAAGTAAGTTATCAACAAATTCTTTTTTACATCATAATTTAATATAATTCGATGTAGAATGTAGTTGAAACTAACTTCGATTAAAATAAACTAAATATAGCAAATAAATCATAACTTTTTTTAACGGTAGTCTGGCTACGCAGCAGCCTCGGCTGCTGCACGAATGGGCAGGCTCGTCCGGGGAAGTACCATAACCTCACAGAAGACCGGCGTAAAGTGGAAGTATAATACTTTCGCGTTTCGTCTGGTGAGTGAGGTGGCCGGAGCCCAATTTTCAAAAGCTTGTCAACGCATCTACCCTCGGGTGTAGCAGAAGTCCATGGACGGTAGTGTTCACTTAACATCAGGTGAACCGTTTGCTCGCTTGGCAAACTTTTCAAAAAAAAACTATATATGAGGTTCCCTTAATTCAATTGAAAATACTAAGTACATTTGTTGTTGAAAACTTAGTTTTATTGAGAAGAAAAATTTACGCACGGTCATTTTTACTTACAAAAAACTTCAATACTTCAAATCTTTTTAAATATGTTACCACTACATAAAAATATGTTCAAAAGGAATATTTTAAATTTTTAATGCTAGTCGTAAATAATTTCGGTTAACTTGTAATTTCGTAAAATCGGTTAACTCACCCGTGTTAACCTTGATTTTAATTCTTAACAGAAAAAACCTTAATACGTGCGTCTGCATCAGCGTGAGGCTTTAAAAAATAACTTAGCATTTAAGAATACGATGTCACGCTCCCAATAATTTTACCATTATCTTTCTCGGATGCGCCATCGAAGGATCGTCTTAAGAAACAATAGCGGCTCCAAGGCCCACCTTAAGGGTTTTGAGGGAACAAAAAAAGCAAATATCTTAAGCAGAACACGGTCACGACGTCACATAATCCAAACAGATAGATCTTACTGTCACTGGCGTTGTCGTTTGACTGGGCGCACCAGGACTAACCGCAGGACGAGTGAAACAAAAACAAAATGTCACTAAGGAAATGCCACCAATGAATCATCACATTAAATGCCTTGTGATATTGTACTAAAGTATCGTGCTTTGTGAATAGCGATTAAAAAAATATTCAATAGCTGCGCTTTTATTTGTATTACTAACCGTGATGTTAACACTTTTAAAATTTACTTAATTATAGTCGAACTATGTTGCTGAATTTATCGCGTAATTATGTTTAACTACTACATTTTTGTGAATATAGTCTGAAACGCTAAGATTATTAAATGAACTATATTAAATACTTAGTAGTTTAATATAAGATTAACATTGTTTAAAGGTAATGAACATACTTACGTAATTTTAAGGTTTAATTCGAATGTTACAAGATAAAGTTTATAAATCATAAAAATTTACTCCGTTTACATTTCGTATTCGAATGTCGCCACAAAGCCAATGGCGATGTCTTTCTCCAAATTGATACGTTAACCTCTTTTATAAGTGAACATTGAGACATATATCATGTCAAATGGACTCCTCGTTATTTTATCGTAACGGATTCCTATGTATTCTCATGGCGACCACGCTATGAGAATACCACGCAAAATCGGAGCCCGTTCACGAAAGTTTGTGGGTGACTCCATAAAGAACACTTTCGTAGGCGGTGCTGCGCTCTCGACTCTGATGTAGAGCTTAACGGTTGTTACACAACAGCAGTGGGAGAGACAATGTCGCCATGAATAACTATTATATTCTTCATTATTCACTATTTATATAGCGCAATTTAATATCGTGACGAAAACCAAATTGCTATTTAAAGTCATGTGATTTTACCGTAAGGAACAATATTAAACTGACTCTAAAGTGTAGTCTGATTTTGTGTTTAAAAGAATGCAGTCGAACCTTTCATTACTACTCTGCATCTCCTAGTATTTCCGCACTATTTGTGTCACCTACATTGCACAGGCGTTTTATTACATCTTTATCTACAAAGCTCCGTCCCCGTCCAGTGTAAAGAGTACGACTTTTAATTTAGAACGTTGTATGTTTTCTATGTGCTTGTAGTACGTAATTTTAGAATAAATTGAACATCAATTACTGCGTTATATTTTACAGTTCTCAATAAAAAAACATAATTTGATAAAGATATTTCTAGACGTAGATATTAAAGTCACATGAGATGATTATGAAATACTAGATTGAGGATCAAACGCCTGAATGGCTGTTCAATGACATATAAATTTTCCAACCACTAAAAATTGTTCTACATGTCAAGACGTCTGATGAGCCAATTGTTAATTTTGGGTTTTGTTAATCCAATTGATTAAATGCCAAAAATTTTCAGCGTGATAATCACTAGGCGTGTCAGAGATTCATATTAGCTGCTCTTAAAGCGAGGCGGCGGTTTGCGTCGAATATGTTAACTAAGGAATGAAATTTCCCCCGAACTAACTTCGTCTCTCCTGCGTAATCCGAAGTAAAACCTCAACACTATAGTATACAACACGCGAGCGATCGCAGTCAACCGCCAGCAGTTAATATTCCCTTTAAAGCTTCGTACGGAACATTAAATATTGCATGCCCAATGAGTTACCTTGCTGTGAAGTGGAATAAAAAAGAAGTAGGGGCGGGCGTGTATGGAGCTTTTCAATAAAACCAGTGGCGTGAAACTCGGCTATTGGTTTTCTCTGCGCTACGGTTGCTTCGTTATTCGAACAACGCTTTACTGTATACTTGGGAGCATACAAATCGATGGCTCGAGTGAAATAGCCGATGAATGTAAAAACGCTTAATATCTTTTAAACCGCATTCCAATCGTCATATGACCACGTGAACGAACATTATACGGTCAGTTAATTAGGAATATGCTTCATAAAACTCAAACAGCCTTCCACTCATTAAATTAACGATCGATTTATCGAATATTAATTACGACCCTCAGTTTAGGCGCCTTTTAATTACGGCTAATGGAATTCTCAAACGTTCAAATTCGATAATTTTAAGACAAACATATAAGGCCAAGGTCGTACTAAACTGTTTGAACGGTGTTCGGGTGAAGTATTTTGTGGTGTGTCTTGAAATTGTTAATATCATTGTTGAACCTAATAAAGACAATTGTGTAAGAACAGTTAGAAGTAAATGTTAAAGAGGATTAATTCTATTTCAAATTTGAAGTTTAATTTTTGGTGCAATTTTTATCTACGTGATGATAAATGTATCAAAATCCAAATCAAAAATATATTCATTCACATAGATGCTTGCGCGTTATTATGAAACGTTAACATTTTACATAAAAATTAATACGTTCGTAAGTAAGCTACCACCGGTTCGGTAAGCAGTTTCTGTTGAGAAGAAACCGGCAAGAAACTCATGGATAAGTATAAGTCTTACTTTAGCCTACGTGAGTATCGACAATATTATATGGATATCTTAACTATATGATGAATTATAAAATTAAACTTACTAACGTCGGTAATTAAAAATAAAAAATAAAACTTGATAAAATCCATAAATAGTTTCATTTAATATTTATAATATTTGTGGAAAAACCAGAAATCAATATCTCAAATCAACAAATATGATGATTTATTTTTTTCATGTTAAGTGATAACTTCTGATTTTGAACAAACTCAGCACTATTGATTTTGCCAACAATTGAAACTATGGACCTGGGCAGGTAACATGTCACACTGGACGAAACTTTTATGGGACCATGGTACTCCCCCGGATGAGCAAATTTTAAATCCGTTGTTGCTCTACCACAAGTCTAAACCTACTACAACGCTAGCTAACTGCTACATTTATGAGTATAATAAAAAAAATACACTTGAAGGAAAGTGCTCGCTTCTCTTACCACTATCATAACTAAGTATATAACAAAGTCACTTTTGCAACAACTCAAAATTCAGCTACATGGCATCGTAATGCACTTCACAATGGTAGCGCACGAAAGCCTTCCTATGTAGCTCTACATGACGACCGCATACTTAAACGTCACGTACAATTATTTGCTGCATCACCGTACGACAGTGCACCGGTCTCAACTCGACGAAACCACTCCGCACGAATGCTAACCCGAAGCGTGACGCGGCAGATTCTGCTCCATTTATGTTGAATCTCAATACATTATCATAACCATTAACATTGTAAGGCAACCGGTACGATAAACGCAGCCTCCTTATTATCGAACCTAATTATTGCTCTTTGTGTTTAAATTCGGAGGGAATTTTATTTAAATCAAGTCACGTATGCATCGAGAACAATGAGG